GGGTCGCTATGAGTCGGTCTGACTTGATGGCACACAACAACAACAACAACACCCACATGGCTGTGATGGGGGGTACTCCATTCCGCTTTCTCAGGGTGAGGTTCCTCTCATCCAGGATGATTGTCTTCATTCTGTCCAAAGCTTAATGAAAGTGTCTCTATGAAATCTGTTTGGATGTGAATTTTCCCCTAATACACATACTAACTTTAATTTCGTTATAGCTTTAACAATTACGAACATTTTGAATAATTCTCAAGAAACTCAACTATTGATAAAATTGCGTTCTGTTAGCAGGAAATTGTTGTTGTTGTTGTGTGCCATCAAGTCAGACCCGACTCATAACGACCCCTTCTTGGGTTTCCGAGAACGACCCCTTCTTGGGTTTCCGAGACAGTATCACTACGGAAGTAGATTGCCCAACCTTTCTTCCGAGGAGTGGCTGGTGGGTTTAAACCGCCAGCCTTCTGGTTAACAGTTAAGTGCCTTAGCCACTATGCTACCAGAGCTCCCAGCAGGAAATTAGAGAAGCTAAAGATTAGATGTGTCCCTGGGCAAGGTAACTGATTAATAGCAGCCCCTGGGAGCAAGTAACAACCATTGTATGCCTGAGATTTCCTGTATCTGCAAATTATCTTTTGCATCCTCTCCAGCTGTAAAAATCAAATCAGCAATGGAATTGCAAGGTTTTTATTGCCCGTTTTTAAGAACAAAAGGCACCAATTTCAAAAAAAGTGTTCATAACTCGTTTGGTGATCACCTCTAAATTTGCAACTGTATACTTAATACACAGGGCTGGAAGGAAGGCCCAAGTGTTGTTTTAGCAATCACCAACAATTTATTTTTAAATGTAATGCATGATTTTTTCCCCTCGTATTTACTTTAACAATGACATGTGAAAATGCTGTAGGACGTATACTCGAACTGTTAAGTGGTTTTTCAAATACCCATTTACCAAGTACATTAAACTGCGACCCGGTGGTCCAGACTTTAGCGCAAGAAAGCAAAGCACATGTGACCTCTTTTCCTTTTTTTTTCCCTTTGCAAAGCGAAACAAGCTAGACTTGTTCTTGTGAGGTGAGTGACGTCACCCCCCACTGGGTCGCGTGACCGATATCCAACCTTTCTACTTCCCCGCCCCCCCGCTGTCTCCGTTAGAGGGGCAAATCTCGCGATAACGTCCCTTACTATCAGAATTTACTGAGGTTACAGAGTTACTCAGAAGAGAAGGAAAGGTGTGGCTGAGTGGTGGAGTTTTTTTTTTTTTTTTTTTACTTTCTACCAACATGCTTGGCCGAAGCAATGGCCTGTGGGGACTGCTAAGCCCTAAGCAATCCAGCCTGAAAAACGGCAGAGAAGGGGGAGAATGAGGTTGCAGTCATAAAAGTAGTGAAACGTGGCTCGCGGGCTGGCGTCTCCCCTTGCTAATGGGGCTGCGGGGGAGGGAGAATACCCGCGTCGGCGCCTGGGAGCTGGCGGCGCGGCAAATGCGGCTTCCGCTGGGGTGGGACCCTACCACGGCTGTGAGGAAGGCTGTGGGAAGCTGGGAACCTTCTCTGGAAGCAGTCAGCTGCCCACATCCGTTCTTGCCTTGTATCAACACTGAGCGACACCGACATCAAGTGGTTGTGTTCCTCGGCCTTTCACCGGGAGCCGCGGTCCCAGAATCGGTGGGGAGTGGTCACTAATGTTAGGTTCTCAAAACAGGCCAGGGGCCTCCGGGACCCTTGGAGGTTGCCCCGGGCTGTTCACAAATTGCCTCGCGTTCTCCTGCTACGTTAGTCCCGGAGGTGGGCAGCAGCCTTTCTGCGGGTTTCAAATGGGCAATTTTGACATATCGCCTCCTTCACCTAAGCCCTTTCCAGTCTTCTCCCCCGCATATCCTCCACCCACCTGGTCTCTTCCTAGACCGGTGTACACGAGAATGTGAGACCGAGCTCTACACTAAAGGAAGGGTTGGAGTCGCTAGAGGGAGGTGTGGGACCAACGAGGAGGGGGCTTGGGATCAAGCGGCGGAAGGAGGTGCTGAGGAAGAGGCGGAGGCCTTGCTAAGGCCGACGACGTTGCACCCGAGCCAAGAGCTCTTTTTCTCTCCACGCCACCTCTAAGCCGCGCGGGCTGGTTTGAGAGCGCAAGGCCGCCGAGGTGCTGGGTCCCGCAAGTGGCGCCACTTCCCACGGGAGAGAAGTCAGCCCTAGACTCGCACGCTCGGCCGGGCCCTGCGCGCCCCGCGCCAGTTGACAGCTGCAGCTGGGCTCCAGCGGTCCGCTCCGGGCTCAGCGGCCTCGGCACTCCGCCCCCGCCCCCTCGGGCTCCCTCCCCTCCGCCTCTACCCCTCCTATCTGGTGCGGAACGTTTCGCAACTGCTCGCGTCTCTCTCCTGGTTCCCGGCTGTTTTCCCATTTTCCAGGACCCTCTTCTTGAGTTCTTTGCCCTCAGCATTTGGGTAGAGGGGCTGGAAACAGGTCGGGTGGAGAGTTCAGAGAAGAAGAAAGAAGCCAGACCCGGAGGAGAAGTAAAATCGGCTGACCGTGGGGGGGCGATCCCACGCCACTCTTTCTGGTCATCTTCCCTCCCGCCCCGCCCCTGAGCACACTCCCTCCCAAGCGAGCTACTTTCGGACGGGAAAAGTGAGGGCGGCCCTAGGTGACAGCGCCGCCGGGCCAGTCCCAGGGAAGCCGGGAGTCTGCTAGCGTCTCGACTACCACGCTTCCAGCCAGGGGCATAGCCCAGACTGAGGATGGCTTCGACCACAACCTGCACCAGGTTCACAGACGAGTATCAGCTTTTCGAGGAGCTCGGAAAGTAAGCGCCTTTGCCCGGCATCGCATGTCCCCTTTCCAGCAGAGGGCGGGTCGCGTTGCCCTCAACCCACCAGCCTCCACCTAGGGGCGAGGGAGTTTGGGGGACCAGGGTACAGGGAGGAGAGCCTATGGTTTGTCAGCTCTAGCTGCCTTGGGAAGGGGAAGAGGTAGAGAAGGTGATTGTGACCTATTCTCTTAGTCCTCAGACCACCTTCTGCTTCCACCCTGTCTCACCGAGAGACTTCGTGAATTTACGATCTCTGCAGTTGTAGCTGTCATCCTGAGAAGTGTGTATGCGCGCGCGCGCGCGTGTGTAGAGGAAACAAGAATCCATGTAAAATGCAACATAGATCATGTTTTCTGTAAATAGAGATGCCTTGGGCTTAGCCGGCGTGTCGGCGGTAAGACCCGTGTACAGATCAGAACTCATTGCCACAGACGGTGCCATATTTATTGATGCCGAAAGTTCAACTTGGCGTAGAGTCTATTTTGCATCTAGTAGTTCTGTACAGGAAAAGAGCCACCCAACGGAACTTAACCCCTTGCCCCATATTCACTATTACTATTTGCACGAGATTACTCGCACACCATCATCCTTCTCAGGATTTACGTGTGCATCTTCGTGTTCTCTGGGAGGATTTATTTTTACCGGCGGTGGAAAAGCCCTCTGGTTACCCAGAGAGCGCTTCCCAAGGGTAGCGTAGCTTTGTATAAAATGACCTCGTACACCCGACTGGCAGAAGTACTTGGGTTTGTTGAGGAAGGGGGCAGGAGACATACCGAGGACCTGTGTAAAGGGACCTAGGGGCAGAGTCGTGAATGTTGATTTATGTAGCATCAAACCCAATTCCTCTATCGCTGGTTTCGACTATTACTTATGAGAGGAGAACGTCTTTGTGTCTGCAGCTAGTTTATACAGTTGAATGAAAGGAAATGTAAATTTGTTTTAAGTGTAATGAAAACTATACCCTTATTTGTTGTGTCATGTTAAAACATGGGAGAATATGTCGAAAGAGCAGCTTAATTCAAATCTCTCCCCTCCCCCAGACCAAAATAGGACACAGAGAAATCACCATACCAAATTTGTTAAACTACACAAATGTGCTTTAGCTTTATATTTTAATGAAAACAATCTCCATATTTACTTACTTGGAGCCACTTTATTTTCCTCCCCTACCTAATGAAATAGGGAGCAAATTTTTGCTGCTTCTCAGCTCTGTTCTTTGCAGGGTTTTCTTAGAGCATTTGGTGCTGTGTGTGAATTTGTAAAATGTTTTCAGATTCCACATGCAAACAAGATCCGTCATAATTGGCAGTTCCTTTCATTTTGTTGATTAATTATGTGGGCTCCTGCTTAAACAAAATTTACTTTTTTTCTTCAACATTGAAGAAGGTCTGGATTTCCAGGAAAAAATTGTTTATTTTCTGGATACTACTGTAGTGCACTGATATTTGACAATCCACTAAAATCAATAAAAATTGCTCAGATTGTTGCTTTTTTTTTGATAGAGTGTCAAAGTTGATTATATTGATGACTTGCTAATTATTGGTTTTCAGGGGGGCATTCTCAGTGGTGAGAAGATGTATGAAAATCCCTTCTGGACAAGAATTTGCTGCCAAAATTATCAACACCAAAAAGCTTTCTGCTAGGGGTGGGTATTTTCAACCACATATATGTTAATTTTCTACTTGTCATGTTGATTATTGGTTCTGTTCTACTTACAAAAACGTCATATATTTATAATTGAATTGTAGACTTAGGTATCATATTACATATTGAGGTTATTTCCTTTCTGAATGGTTCTTGGTTAGTACACTGTAAAAATAAAGGAACAAACATAATTGTTATTATTTAATAAATTATAATTCTATTTGTCCTATGAGCAGTAGCATAAATAACTGTATTTTAAAGGTTTTTGTCACTAATTGTGTTTTGCCTTCATTTCTTGTGTGAAATAACTTTCGAAGGGATCCTGGAATAGACAAATACTAGTTTTACAATTGGCATAATTCTCTTTTGTTTTTGAGGAAAAATAGGTTATAGCTTAGTTGAATCATATTTCAATGACAGTTAAACTTGAATGTAATTCACCGAGGCATATTTAAAAGTAATAATAATTATTGCTATATTCTAGGAAGTTCAGCTTGATTTTAGTGTTTTTGTGTACAGTTCCAACCTTTACTTGGTGTTTTTCATTAAGTCGTCTATGGAGTCATGTAATGTATTTTACACATTGAGTTTATACAGAGATAAATCATAATCATAAAATAGCTGTTGATATAAGCAAAAAATAACTGGGAGGAACCTCACTATGATCTTTTTATTTTGTCAAACTTATGCAAAAATACTTTTACTGAAATGTTAGATGTTCCCAGTATTGTGGCACGTGTCTATGGTATTTCCATGGGAATTTATGGTTTGACAAAATAAAACTGAAATTGAAATGAATTAAGGCAAGCCTATCTCAATGACCTAGTTTATTTTGTGTAATAAGAGAACAAATTCCATTAGGGTTATTTTTCTTTCTTTTTTACATGTTTTTTAAAAGTGCCTCTTACTAGCATCCTGCTATTATTATCTTTGGTCTCTGCTGTGATTAGTTTTTCCATATTTGCTGCAGATTGTAGTTTAAACTTGTACTTTAGGTTTAGGTAGACATTTCAGTTTGTTTATTTGGGTGGAATTTCCTTTAATTTATTTTATCCAGTTTTAATATAATTCTGAGTGAGATCTTTATGGTAAACTAACCAGCACTGTGCATTCATATTAGGAGAACTGAGAAGCACCGTGTGCTCAGACATGTTCACCTCTTCATTTCGACTCAACATGAAGGTTTTAACAATGAGAATGTAAATGTAAAATGTAAATACCATTTTAGTTGTTTGAAAAAGGGTAGAGAGAAATATAAATGTGTAGTTAAATTGTTTCAGTGCTTATTTTACTTCTTTCTGTGTGCTGGTATTTTTGACAAGAATGGAAAGTATCAGTTCTTTTGAGGGCATTATAACACCTTTCCTAAATCTTTCATTGGGTTTAAATTTTCTTTCAAAATAAATTAGTCTTAAGCTACACTTTTACTAATTTCCATAATTAGAGTCATCCTTCTTCATTCACACAAATCCATACTCTGTACACCAGATGTGGAATGATTGGAAGAGATCCATATTTGAGCCTAAAGAAAGGTGATCCACCAGAATCTAGAAGTTAATGAACAATATCTTTAATACCACATGCAAGTAAAATTATTCTGAAGATAATTCAAAAATAGTCATAGCACTGTACCGACAAGGAACTGCCAGAAATTCAAGCTGGATTCAGAAGAGGATGTGAACAAGGGATATCATTGCTGATGTCAGATGCATCTTGGCTGAAAGCAGAGAATACCAGAAACATGTTTATCTGTGTTTTATTGACTATGCAAACACATTTGACTGTGTGGATCATAATAAATTATAGATAACATTGTAAAAAATGGGAATTCTAGAATATTTAGTTGTGCTCATGTGGAACCTGTGCATAGATCAAAAGGCAGTCATTTGACCAAAGCAAGGATATACTACCTAATTAAAAATCAGGAAAGGTGTATTGTTTTACCATATTTATTCAGTCTAATGGAGCTCTGGTGGCATAGTGCCTACAGCATTTTACTGCTGACCAGAAGGTTGTTTAAACCCGCCAGTCACTCTGCAGAAGGAAGAGGAGGCAATCTACTTCTATAAAGATTTACCGCCTTGGAACCCAGAAGGGTTTACTGTGAATCAGAATCGACTCAATGGCAGTAATTTTGTTTTTTTAGTTATTCATTCTGTATGTTGAGCAAATAATCTGAGAAGCTGGACTATACAAAGAAGAATGTGGCATCAGGATTGGAAGAAGACTCATTAACAACCTGCAATATGCAGGTGACACAATCTTACTTACTGAAAGTAACGAAGACTTGAAGCACTTACTGATGAAGATAGAAGATTACAGCCTTCAGTATGGATTATACCTGAACATAAAAGCAAAATCTTAACAGTTTGACTAATAATGCAATATTATGATAAGTGGATAAAATATTGAAGTTGTCAAGGATTTTGTTTTACTTGGATCTGCCATCATTGCCATGGAAGCATCAGTCAAAAAATCAAATGACACTGAGTTGGGGAAATCTGCTGTAAAACTTGTAAAGTGTTCAAGAGCAAAGATGTCACTTTGAGGACTGAGGTGCATCTGACCCAAGCCATGTTATTTTCATTCACCTCATGCATGTGAGAGCTGGACAGTGAATAAGGAAGACTGAAGAAGAATTGATACCTTTAAAGTATAAGGTTGTTGAAAAAATATTAAATATACCATGGACTGCCAGAAGAATGAAGAAATCTGTCGTGGAATAAGTACAACCAGAATGTTCCTTAGAAGCAAAGATGGTGAGACTTTGTCTTATGTACTTTGGACATATTATCTGGAGGAACCTGTCTCTGTAGAAAAACATCATACTGGGAAAGTTGAAGCTCAGTGAAAAAGAGGAAGACTCTCAGTGAGGTGGATTGACATAGTGGCTATGGGCTCAAACATAGCAGCAATTGTGAGGATGGTGCAGGACCAGGCAGTATTTTGTTCTGTTGTACGTAAGGTTGCCGTAAGTTGGAACCAACTTGATGGCACCCAACAACAACAACGCCAGAACTCAAATATACTTGTCCCTACTCACATTCCTCTTGCTGTCTTTTGCTTCCGACTTATAGAAGATAAGCCTTGTCTAAGCTGATGGAATTCCTTTTCTCCTCTACTCTGCCAGTGTTACTTGCTCATATTGTGCTTTAAAGGACCACAGACTGCGAAACTTTTAAACCAAAAAAACCAAACCCACTGCCTTCGAGTAGATTCAGGCTCATAGTCAAAGTGGTAAATCTTTACAGAAGTAGATTGCTCCGTCTTCCACAGAGTGGCTGGTGGGTTTGAGCCCCCAGCCTTCTGGTTAGCAGTCAAACGCCTTAGGCGCTGCATCACCAGAGCTCCTTGAGAGACTTTTAACCCCTTCTCAATTTTATGATTCTAATTATTTCAACTAAAGAAAAGTAGCTGGGATGAAGAGTTAGAAATCATGCTGCTAGTTCTTCCTCTGCAGTTTTTCCTGTGACCGTGCAAGCTGCTCGATGTTAACTGCCAAAGAATGTGGTAGTGAAGAACATTGGCTCTGGAACCAGCTGTCCTTGGTATGAATTCTGATTTCCCTACCTATTAGTTGTGTGATGTAGGGCCATTTACCTATTTTCTCTGAGCCTCACTTTCTCGTCTGTAAAATACAATATATGACCTTTCTCTGTAGAGTATTTTGAGGAGTGAGTGAGTTAATAATAGTATTGAATGCAGACTGCCACGTAATGTGAATTCAGTAAATATCAGCTGCTATAGTCCCTAAGGCATTTGACTGCTAACCAGAAGGCTGGTGGTTCAAACCCATCAGCTACTCCTTGGAAGGAAGATTGGGCAATCTACTTCTGTGGAGATACTGACTCAGAAACCCAAGGAGGGGTCTCTGTGGGTCCAGTCAACCCGACGGCAGTGAGTTTGGTTTTTTTGGTATTACTATCTGATTGGATTGTTGTTAGGAGCAAATGAGGTTACTTAAAAGAAAGAACTTGAAATGTATAAACCCAGTGGCAGCTTTGGTTTAGTTGTGAGAACCTGATTTGAATCTTGGTTCTTCTATTTCATGTGTAAACTTGTTTCAATCACTTACTTTTTCTGGGTCTCAAGTTCTTACTGATAAAATGGGAAAAGTGAAATGACTGTCTTGTGGGGTGTTTTGAGGATTCAGTGAATTTTATAGAAGCACTTTCTAAATTACAAAGTGTTGTGTCTATTTTAATTTTATTGCTGTCTACCTGTAAAATATTGTACATTTCTTCAGAATACTCAACAGCTTTATTTTCTATCTTCAACCAATTAGAATTGGTTATAGGATATTCGTACCTTGGAATGTATATGTGTTTAATGTGTACGCATATTAAAATTGAAACTCTAGAAAGAAGATTAACTGTGCTTTCATTTTATAACATAATATGCCCCAGCATTGAAGATATAGAAGGGCTCAATAAGAAGGACTTCAAACAAATGTGGTTATTAAATCATTTATAAAGGAGTTAAGTACCTAGTTTACTTCTAAGAACATGCAAATACTGGAAGTAGCATATTAAGAGCATGCTTTAAAATGTGAATTCTCTTCTAAAAGTGCTTTCAGAATATAATGATCAAAAAAAAACTTTATGGAAACATTTTAAAAAGAATGAATATATTCAGGGGAAATATAGTATAACATGCAAAATAGCAATCTTATATTATTTTTCTTTAAGTCACTGATATTTTTCCCTACATACAGAAGTTTCTGTGGAACATACTAATTTTTATACAGTTTTGCTTCTTTTATTGTTTGAAATGCTATGCATTTGTAAATTCAAACCTTAAGCTTAATTGTTTTAAAGCCTAGGCAGATCCTCCAACTCTAATAATGTTCTGTAAATGTAACATTACAACTGGAAAAAAAAATGTTGTTATCAATAAATCTAAGATCATGAGGGAATTACCAAAAATTTGGCTACATTCCTGCACAAATTTGCACATCCAAATATACTGTCACCCAGGCATTTTCTCTGTGCCTGGATTTTA